CTTCGATGTCTATACAATACCGCGAATGTTAAGGTCGCACTGCTAATATACAGGTTGCCATCTAAAAAGGAAATAGTTTTTTTCTCACCTCCAAAAATAAACTATGCATCGCCGAACACTCAATCTCCACCCAAATGCAACGCTAGAGATCCGAACCAGATCCCAAAGCACGAACCGATATTGTATTCATGAGTTATAAGTGATTATCTGAAAATGACGATGGAAACGTTGTGGCCGACGGAGCTTTCGAATACATGGAGCTCAATGGCGCCAGTAACCTAGAAACGGGCGAAAAGGGGCCCCGTTTTCCCATTGAAGTTTTTAGAATAATACTTATACCCTTCAAAGAAAAATATTGGTTCGTGCTAAAATTTTGGCACCAGATTCCGACTTCTAGAGCTATCTTTGGGCGGTGAATGAGCGTTCGGCGTTGCGTAGTTTATTTATGTGGTAAAGAAAAAGAGAAACCCTTTAGATTGTTTTGGTGCACCCTATACATTAAGCAAAAGACCGACTTCAGACACTTTTTTGGCCGTGTTTCTTTGTATGTATGAAGTTAACGTGCTTTGAAGTTGCCTGAGGCGTGTCCGCCGATGATAATCTTATCTATCTCTGCGGAGATTCTCTCACTCATACAGTGACTCTAGACATAACCATATGCTTTACCCACAATTAATGCCATTTTACGTGAATTTCTAAGTCTAGATAGAATGTTTAGACTATTTTTTTATTTTATAACTTGTTAATTAAGAATGCTGGAATCGGCACCAGTGATGATAATTTGGATTGCCATAGTCATTCGCGCGTTTGAAATTAGATCATAAGCCACAAAGAATATTATAATTTGAAAAAAAAATATTGATTAAAATATCCTAATTTTATTATTGCTAATATGAATTGCCGTAATGTAGGCCCCCGAAAAATGCCACATTGACAAAAACACGACATTCAACCATAATAGTATTTGCTGACAAATCTCATTTTTATTTCATTTTAACACATGAAAAACTCTGACATCGGTGTCGAGATAGACATAAATAATTGGTGTAATATTGCGTCCCATGCGTCGCGCGTTTTTTTTTTTTTTTTTAAACAGACTGATTTTGTTCTGACTCGGAATTTGTTTTGTGTTTTTTTTTTGTGTGTGTCAGAACAGCGTTTCTTAATTTATACGTTCTGTGAGCATATATATTCTAAACTAATAACCCGTTGCTATATATTGTAAAATTTGGATTGATTCTATTTTTGTTGTGTTGGAAATAACGCTCAAGCAATTAGTCATCTAAATACTTAAAAATCCATTAAAGGGCCCACAGGTCATTATTTCACATGGCCTTTATCCGAGTAAAAAAAAGGCTTCAAGAACACACAAATACCAGCGCTGATTTTTCAGAAAATACAATATTCATTTACCTGCAAGGTGTAACGAAGACAATGTGTTTAAAGGGACACTCAACTTTCCAAAACATATTTAAATTCATGGACTGGACATGCGTGTCACAAAATAAAGCTTGAGCGACCAATTTCTCTGGCATAATAATTACGCTGTGAGCCACATCTTTAGGTATAGAGGCGAGAAACCGAAATGAACACCTATATTGAGAAACGAAATCCAAAATAGAAGTTAGTTTCGGTTTTGTCCCTGAATTAAAACGTGCTTCACAAGTTAACGTGCAACACGTCAGCAACACGCTATATGACCCCCAATTTCACCCTATTAAAACATCTAACGTCACGTCTACAACATTGCCAGTACTGCCTCCCAGTTTCTCAGACCAAAATTAAAATTTCAATGGCTTCGAGAAAAAAAAATAATTGTGACTCGTAATTGGGGTGACTGTTACGATGTACCTATTGGTGTGTTAGACCAAATTTGAAGCAAATCAGGGTCTGTAAAATTTTCACAGAACTTTACTTTTAAGCAAAACAGTAAGGACCTTAGCAATGCAAAACCTGCTACCTACCGGCAGTGTTCCTTTTATACTGACTCAATGTCTGGGAACAATCAAGGCAAAAGAAACTCTCAAGGCAAAGCCCGATGGGCGCTTTAAGGGTATAATAAATGATATAAAATGAAATTAACATAGAATCTTAGTAGGCGAATTCGACTATGAAGCATCAAGCGGAGATTTTGAATTGATCAAACGTTGGCATCCGTTGGGAGCCAGATCGAAACAACCGGCTCGTGCTTTTATTCAAGAGCACGCGCACCAAACGCGAATGCTGCGGGGGCACCGATAATGTGATTGTAATTGGGTACAGGTGAAAGAAGCAGGGAGATTGGGGGAGTGTGATTGGCAGCCGGTCGATGCATCCTTGTAAAGGCAGGCATTGATCCAAGTATGCGCGCTTCGTGCGGTGGACAAATTTGAAACACTAGAGTATGATGAACCTTGTTGACGAAAATGCTTTTGATAAAAATATCACTTTATTTATTTTTTAGTAAGGCGGTCAGTTGAGCGAGTTAAGAACGAAGATCAATAGCACGCACGCACTCACGCACGGACGCATGCACGTACGCACGCACACATACACACAAGCACGCACGCACGCATGCACAATTATATTTCAGACAACCATTTGCGCGATTCGGCAAGCATTAGGAACGGTTTTGAGGCTAAATTTTAAGAAAGGACAATACAGCACTATAACTTGCTCAGTGTGAGCGTCTTCAAAGGTAAGAATATTCACTTTGTAGCCTACCCGCCTCTTATGTTAGGTGAGCATATATACATGGTTGAAATCAGCAAGCGACATGGGGAAACTGGAGAAGAATACAGGAGACAGGATAGACTCTGAACTTACAACTCAAGGGAGGATCAGTGGCCGAGTGGGCTAGCGAATTCCCGCTACGAACACGTAGAGCGAAGGCTAGTTCTGCAGAACTAAGGATCCTAGGTTCAATCCCCACCCCTTCCCGTTTCGATCTGGATGAGCATCGCACAGGCGTGCGGTCATGTGTCACTACTGCGTGATGCACGCTAAAGGTTAAATTTCTCATCTATAGCTGGGAGACTCGTCGCCTGGTGAGGCAGACCAAGTTCTAGGCTGTATAAGCATACACACCACCCAATTTCTTTTTTCTCACAGCTCAATGACATTTAGAAGAGAAGAAGAAAGAGGATGACTCAACCAAGAGGCACGTGCTCATGGCACGAGAACTCTAGGGCGCAGGGCGATGGCTTCAGCGGAGGCTATGCTTCAGCGCCTCGAAGCATTTAAAAACAAAACTTCCTTTTCAGATAGTGTCACAACAGGATGGCTCAGGGAGTGCTAACCCCGACCTTGAATAACATACGCCTCGTAAATTTCTCTGAAGAGTTTTTTTTTCTTCTTATATCGCCCGAGGATAGCGGTGCTGGCCAGGTTTGAATTACATGCACAGGCTTGACAGTGTAGAGGCAAGTGACCTCCTTACCGTTGAACTCATAGACAGGTTATGTTCATGTAGCCTATCACAAATACATATCCCTGTCTTTCTACCATACGTTAAGGGAGTGCTCGAGGTACTGGGCACAAACAGTGTAACATGTTTATTTTTACATTTCACTCGATATATTTATTTCCTAATTTAAGTATACCTGGGAACAAATACGGGCCATTTCCTGAGGTGCTGGAAAAAAACAACTGGAACTTGATATCCCTAGGCTACTTTATTTAAGCTGTGCGATACCTTGTGCAAGTATGCAACCACTACCACCCGTTTCTTCTCAACGTTGCGCTTACCACCTTCTTCTATTTTTATTTTGTTAACCAAGGATCGCACGACCTCATTTAGCACCTGCCCCGGGAACCCGGATGGCCAGAGTATCTCAATCTGAGCTTTGAAGCTGTCATAAATGTTATGTAAACATCCTAAACATGAAAGACCTTTATCCATTTTAACAATTTTTGAGTGCGCTGAAGAGTAATGTAATATACCCCTTTTTGAACGTAGGGAGAAGGATTACCGTAAATAGATAGGTGGAAAAATTGCAAGAATCCTTCCTCAGCCTCTTAATAGGTGTATCTAAGACCAAATCTACACTTACAAAAAATGTCCATAACATTGGTGACTAGGTCCTTTCCCAGGCGATTGTCAAGCAGAAGTAGAAAGTTATCAAGATATCGGAACACTTTTTTCACAAGAGGTCTAAGGGCATGTTGAAGGGCAAAATAAACTCTGGCAAGAAAAATATCACCGAGGACAGGCGCCATTCACGACCCTGTACATTATCCAGAGCTTTGGAGAAAAACTTCGTTACGCTATCCTATGAACGTATAAATGAGATAAAATTGAAGTAGTTCAGGAAAGCACTCAGTGGAAACACAACTCGAGTTTTGGAAGGATAGTTTATCCTCGTCCTCAATACATAATTTGGCAGAGTCAGGTAAGATGTCACGGGGAAGTGAATAAGAAAGGTTCTGAACACCAACACTGAAGCAACTATGGCTGCCATAATGATCTGCCTTCAAAGATTCCACTTCTTTCTTCCTCTCTTCTTGATGGAATATTGAGTTGTGAGTTGAGCGCCTCTCCTGTCTCCTGTATTCTTCTTCGGTTTCCTCACGTCGCTCGCTGACATTAATCTTGTATAAGGCTTACAAACCACTCCAGTTCACCACATTTCTATAGGCGTGCATATATTACCCAGTAAAATACTATTACAGAACCACCACCAGAAAAGGAGCATGCATAGAAGGACAAGCACGTACTGCCATACGTGTACTCCTGACACCCGGTCCTACGATATGGCAGTTTTAAACTGGGGTCACACTGCTCACACTTCCTACAGAACGACAGTCTGCAAACACGAGTCACCGGAATATCCGTGGTTCGAATGCCGCGTGCTAAGTTTCTCCTTGAACTCATTGCCCTGCCATGCGGCATTCAAAGCAGGGATCTCGCAGAGCCTCGTGTTTTAATCTGTATGCAGACTCTCTTTTGTATCATGTATATATACATCACACAAAAGAGAGTCTGCATACAGATGACCCGGTTTTAACGGACTGGCGCGCGTCTACATCTTTTCACGCAGCATAACCTCGAGTTCATCAACACAAGCGCAACTCTTCAGCAGCTTTTGAAGGAAGCAGGTAAATGTGGGAGCTCCGGGAAGCGCTAACCTAAGCCGAACAAACACCACGTAATAAGCACAGCCAGCAATCGAGCCACCGGCCAGGAAAGCAAACGGAAGGAAGTCCACAGGCTGCACAAGGCGCGCGCCAAGTGGGATCAAGAAAGCTAAAACGCGGATGGCTGCCAGCACGGTAGGTGCCCGGTAAGGCCTTGGGGCGTCCTTCATGGAGACCCGTAGCACAAAGAACGACACTAAGATCAGGCCGTTGTTCAACGCGTAAATGAGAGGAAGAGCCTCCACAATAAACGTGACGGATCCCAGAAATGTGTACAACATTGACAGGAGCCCACGAAGTAACAGCGACGTTAGGGGCACCCCGCTGTCTACGTTGACCGTAGAGAAGATGGCCGGGAAATGGCGCTGTCTAGCTGCCGCAAGGATAACTCTACTATTGGCGAAGAAGACGGCGCATGACGTGCCGAAGAGCCCAACGGCTATGAGGAGAGGCATCAGGGTTGCCGCCTTGCTACCCCACGTTGCGGCGACGAAGGTGACTGCGACGACCTCCGTACTCGCCATAGCCGCCGAGTCGAGGACCGTGAATAGAAAAAGGTTGTAGAGGAAGACGAAAAGAGTTGCAATCAGCAGTCCTCCAAACATCGCCAACGGAATGTTGCGGGACGGATTGGCTATTTCACCAGCGAAATTGCTCACAAACTTCCTGTAAAAAAAAAAAGTATTTTTTTTTTGTGTGTGGTTACGTGGTACTCTATGCGTGTTCGTGTTTTCAAATAAAGTCCGCGGGCCGGTCGGAAGGATTCCGCGGGCAAGCTCTGTCCCGCACGCGGGGTTTAGAGGCACGTGCTATAAAGAAAGCTACCACCCAAAGAAACCAGCAAAACAAATCTTGTGCAGGTCTATATCTGAAGAGCTTTTGTGACCTAGTTATTGTCTTGTGTCTTGCACGGAAAATGTCTACATTTTTGTTTCAGCAGACAATGACTTACCTACTATTTGCAAATGCATTGAAATTAGTTCTAATACCCTAGTTACACTAGCGCACCGAACTGTCACTAAGCCAACAATAGTTGACTCAATCGCGATCGGCCGGAGTTACACGGCGGCGCTAAGTACCATTGAGCCGCTAACGATCACCGAGTTCAAATGAGCTGGTCTACCTCAGTTAACTGATGGGGGTTCGCCCAAGCTAAATATGGCAACGTTCGCCGCATCACCGCCCATGGCTAGCGCCAACGAAGCACTTACTATTGCGGAATACTGGGGTAGGTATCTAGAGAGTATCGTTGCAGCAAATACTGTCGGAAGAGGTGTAATTCGGGGCCAGAGCTGCCGCAAGATCGAACACGGCACGTCGCGGAAGCCAAAGCTAGGCGAGGGCGGCCATTCTGATGCCGGTGCCGATAAGTGGCTGCACTCGGGAATTTTCTTTTCGTTAAGTAGGTAGGTCTATTAGCCCTAAAGTTTCGCCAATTGAGGCTTGCGAACAATAAGAAAACAAAAACTAAGCTACCATCCTCCTGTAGGTATGTGGGTTGCAAAGTATGCAACAGCAAGTTTTCCGGCGGTCGTCTCGGCGTTAAACAAGGGATCGTCGTAAAGATGATTTACTGAAATACAAAAAAAAGTATTGTAAGAATACGTCTGATGAAGTACCTACTATCGTGTTATCAATAGCGCTCACCTTCAGATACAGTGATGAATCCAGTGATAATAAATGAGATGAGAATGGTGGAAGTGATTATTGATAGAAATCCCTGGACTCTCGAAGATATCTTTATGGAGAAGCAGTTGACTGCCGTGGCCAAACCTGAAGACAGTGGCATAAAGTACCTTGCATTGAACGATTGTTTTAATGTTTTATACTGGATATCAAGTTCAGTTCTTTTTTTTTTACTCAACTGCTCCTTTGTACAAAGTGCAGGTTTTGAAGGGACATTTACGGTCACCGATAGCTTAAAAAGCCCATGGCGTAACGTAGTCACGGTACCTTCATATCGCTCTGAAGCAAATGAGGCTGCGTCATTAGCCGATCAAAAACACATACACACTAAAACACGCATTTCAAATAAAAAAAAAGGTGCGATCATTTCAAAGTGTGCCACCGGACATTGACGCTACGGTGCGGTCTCTATAGCAGAAGCATTCAGCAGAGACATCGTATGTAGCAGCCCACCTTAGCTTCTAGTCAATGCCAGATTACCTGAGGACATCGCTATACAAAACGGTCGATGAAGCGGTTAGCCTTTTTTACCAGGAAAACGGAAACACACATGCGCTGCCGAAAACAGCCACGATCACTTCAATCTTAGCACGTCTACTTGATCCGCCGACAGGAGAAAAGCAACCCGAGTAGCGAGTAGTAACAAGAGTACCGAAAAAAAACAACCTCCCATGTATAGATTTCATGAATTACCGACACCGGTGAATGTCGTCCTGTTGTGATTCCTATACCCCCGAAGAGATAAGTGCTTTGTGAGGCATATCCCATGCAGCACTGATAAACGGAACACATTGCGGTCTGTGGCCGTCGTTGCCGCCTACAACTCTAAAGGGGGGGAGGGGGGGGGGGGGGAGGGGGGGGGGGCGTGGAGGGGGGGGGGGGGGCGTGGAGCCGGCGTTACGATTTCAAACCCGAGCTCCCGCTAAACCTGTGGTCAACTGACGTCAGATCAAGCACAGAGCTGCACTGGACGCGGGTAAGTTTTTGAATGTCAAAGTCCGAAACGTTCACTCCGGAATGTGATTGAGATACACTGCCGGGGGTGCAAAACCTTTCCTCCGGGTTGTGATCGAGAAACACTGCCGCGCGTGCAAAACCTTTACTCCGGGTTGTCATCGAGAAACACTGCCGCGGGTGCAAAACCTTTACTCCGGGTTGTGATTGAGAAACACTGTCGCGGGTGCAAAACCTTTACTCCAAGTTGTGATTGAGAAACACTGCCGCGGGTGCAAAACCTTTACTCCAGGTTGTGATCGAGAAACACTGTCGCGGGTGCAAAACTTTTACTCCGTATTGTGATTGAGATACACTGCCGCGGGTGCAAAACCTTTACTCCGGGTTGTGATCGAGAAACACTGTCGCGGGTGCAAAACCTTTACTCCGGGTTGTGATCGAGAAACGCTTTTGCGGGTGCAAAGCCTTTACTCCGGGTTGTGATCGAGAAACACTGCCGCTGGTGCAAAACATTTACTCAAGGTTGTGATTGAGAAACACTGCCGCGGGTGCAAAACCTTTACTCCAGGTTGTGATCGAGAAACACTGTCGCGGGTGCAAAACTTTTACTCCGGATTGTGATTGAGATACACTGCCGCGGGTGCAAAACCTTTACTCCGGGTTGTGATCGAGAAACACTGCCGCGGGTGCAAAACCTTTACTCCAGGTTGTGATTGAGAAACACTGCCGCGGGTGCAAAACCTTTACTCCGGGTTGTGATCGAGAAACACTGCCGCGGGTGCAAAACCTTTACTCCGGGTTGTGATTGAGAAACACTGTCGCGGGTGCAAAACCTTTACTCCAGGTTGTGATCGAGAAACACTGTTGCGGGTGCAAACCCTTTACTCCGGGTTGTGATCGAGAAACACTGCCGCGGGTGCAAAACCTTTACTCCGGATTGTGATCAAGAAACGCTGCCGCGGGTGGAAAACCTTTACTCCGGACTGTGATCGCAAAAAGAAAAAGAAAAAAAAAAAAAGAAAGCTGCCGCGGGGTGGTGGAGACGCGACCAACAGGGCAGGGGAGAGCGGGCAGCGCTTCCCTACGCAATTTAACGCAAAGTCTGACGTTCGGTGTCGCTGACAACCAGATGTCAAGGCGGATCGGAGCATTCGAAGAAATTCATGCCGTATTTCTCTTAAGCTATCGGTGACTGCAGTCTCACTGATCGAGCGCGCGAAGCTTATGGAAGGAGTCTTTTGAACTTGAACTCACATGTAAACGCTAGAGCCAGGAGCAGTTTTGCCGCGTAAGGTGGGAGGCAGCCAGGGTATGGTATGCTCAGGATGTAGCTTGCAAACATTTGTGCCTGGAGCGCCATGATCAGGGGATCGCCAAGTACGAGGAAGTTCCAGGCGTACATGAATGGGATGACGTCGCCAAACCTCCCGAAGGACTTGCTGCCGGCAACCACGTAGGCATAGCCACCACCAGACGCCGGTAGCAACGTTGCCAACTCCATGTGGCACAGTCCAGCTGCAAATATTAATGTGGAAGCATTTAAATATTTTTGTTTTTGTTTTTTGAGTTATATCTTTTTTACATATGAGATGCGGGTACGTGTCTTCGCTGGTCTCTAAAGCCACAGTCAGACTGCAAATGCATCAAGTCAGTTCGCAAGCAGATTCGAACGTAGGTCAACACGAAATCCGTGCTTCGAATATCGCATGTCAACGAGTTGTTCAAGGAGAAACTTGGCACGCGTCATTCGAACTACGGATATCGCGGTGACTGATGTTTACACAATGTCTTGTGGGACGTCGGCTTAATCTGGCCCTTATGGTTGTGCCTGTAGTCTATATAGATCCCTTTCAATATTTAGAAATGATGCATAGATTATGTGCGGCGGCTTCGTTAGCATTCCGGAGTGTATTCGGATTGAGACGCGTTCCACATGAGTGCTGCGTCAGTGCTTCGCAGGAACTCGAAACCAGGCACGGGTTTCACAATTTTCTGCATTATCATAATCGAAACATCACGTGCACACCATTTTCATCCAGGAAGGATTACTACACTTAACTTTTATGCGCTGATTAAAACCATGTACCAATAATTAAAACTGATTCCCACTACCACCGCTAGGGAATTCTTTTCGGCTTACGGTTGGTCAGGAAGCATGTCAAGCCCTTCTTCTGCGTCTGACGCACTCCCTGGCTCTGTTAATTGCCGCAGTCACTGTTACATCTCGGGAAGTACATGATTGTGGTTTGTCAGCAGTAATTCGTACAATGAACACGTATGCAAAAAGACGGGCGGCGGAAGCTGCAGTAAAATGTCATATGCGCGGTATTGAGGCAACGGAACTGACGGGCTGACCGACATGGTTCAGTTGCTGTGCGGTTACATGCTCTGTTTCTTCGAGGGAGGACGCCATCAAATATGTTCTCGTCCTCTCTGTATTCGGCGATTTGGTTGTCATCTCGTTGGTCATTGCCAGTCCAGTCATTCAAGTTCAGGTCGCCCTTAGTCTGATTATTAATTGCTGTTGTTATCATCATGTCAGTTCTCATGTTTCAAAAAACCCAAGGCACATAGTTGGGGGAATTAAAATGAATACTGATTAATTATATTCAATTGCAATTTTCTTTCTGGAAAGAGACTAATCAATTTGGAATTATATTCAACACCAGGGGTGGCCATAAAAACATATTCATAGAGCCATAAAAAGGAACTGTTTTAAATGAAGAGCCGAAAGAGAAACATGGTACTTTCAATTTTTTTTTTTAACTTTCCTTTTTAGTTGGTGGCAACAGCGAATTCCACTCATAAGGCAATTGCTGAGCATGCTTCTGTAATGTTCGTGCACGCTCATAACACAAGTACCTTGCCCATTTGTATTTTGGCACAAAGCTGGCAAAACACAAGCAACCTTTTGATCCTGAGAGGAGGAAGAAGGGTTGGGTTTACTAAGGAGTAAGGTGGTAAA